CACACACACACATTACAACACAAGGGAATATAAAGACACAACAAACATCAGAGTTCAATCCATCTATCCATTCTCTGGGTCTCGGTGGCAGCAAAGTCATCCAGATGTTTCCCGTAGCTCCTCCTGGGGGATCCCGAGGCGTTCCCAAACCAGATCAGATATATTATCACTCCAGAAAGAAAAACAAGATGGCGACGGTCATATGGCCGAACTCGAGGTTTCAAAACATCAGTCCACAAACCAACGAGAGACGTCACGACGACTACGTCCACCTCTTTTATACAGTCTATGTCTACACCCTGAGCTCCCATTAGTATCCCCAACAAGACTCCCTTTTGGACACAATCGTAAGTCTGCTCCAAGTCCACAAAACACACGTAGACCGGAAGGGCGGACTCCCATGACTCCTCCAGTGAGACTGCTAGCTGATCCACTGCTCCACAACGAGGACGGAATCAGCATTGCTGCAAGGTTTGACAATCTCTTGGAGCCTCTTTTCCTCTTCTAAAAACAGGAACCAGCACCCCCAAAGTCTGAGTAACATTGAAGACACTTGTCCCAACAATGTCCAGACTTTAGCATATTGGTGAGGTTTCCTCAGAGTCTTCAAACTCGTGTTGTTTCAGTTCAGGAGCTCCTCAAAGTTTTCTCTTTCCACCGCTTAACGGTATCCCCGGTCCAGGGTCTGCAGCCTGAGCCAAGCACTGATGCTTTGACTGAACTTCTGTAAAGGCCCACTGAAAGTCCGTCTCCACAGCCTTCTCTGAACTCAAAGGTTTTCACTTCAGTGACCAGCGAAGCCGCAGATCTTCTACTACTTGGTTAGGTTGAGACGACTAAACTACTTGGTTAGGTTGAGACGACTAAACTACTTAGTTAGGTTTAGACGACTAAACTACTTAGTTAGGTTGAGACGACTAAACTACCTAGTTAGGTTGAGACGACTAAACTACCTAGTTAGGTTGAGACGACTAAACTACCTAGTTAGGTTTAGACGACTAAACTACTTAGTTAGGTTTAGAAAATATCGTGGTTTGGTCTAAAATAACTATGGAAGTGACACAACTTAAGCACGGAAGTTACGTGACTAAGAAATCTACGTTTACTTCTCGTGTCACACGGGGACCAAACAGTGGTTTGACTCCTCCTCCTCATCTGTTTGGGTCTTTCCAGTCTTTAAACTTCCTGGTCCATGATAACATGGATTACACACAAATTGATTTCGTGGGGTTTCTACGAATGACAGCGCATTCATTTTTGTTTTCTTCTACGAAAGTGTCAATTTCCACTCATCATCAAAATAAACTTCACCGAGCAGGAAGTGAGTTCTTCAACGTGAGGTGAGAAAATCAAAACATTATTCTCCATAAGCAGATGACTACAGTGGATTGATGTGGAGATTTAACGCACGCGCACACACACACACACACACACACACACACACACACACACACAAACACACACACACACACACACACACACACACACACACACCTCCCTCCGACTTGTTAACAATGTAATTAACAAACCTTATTAACGCTGCTAAATTTAAAACAACTGTTCCTCCTCAGTGCAATTAACACACTGGAGGAGAGGAAGGAGGAGACATTGTACTTGTCAGTTTTGAGAAGTAATAAATCAGACATGTTTTCAATACAAAGTCATTTTAATAATAACGACCAGTCACCTCCACCACCATCATCATCATCATCACCACTATCATCACCATCATCTCCACCATCACCACCATCATCACCTCCACCATCATCACCATCACCATCATCACCATCATCACCTCCATCACCCAGGGTCGAAAAGGACAGATTAAACACAGCACCGGTAAACACACACACACGCACGCACGCACACACAGAGAGAGAGAGACACACACACACACACACACACACACACACACACACACACACACACAGAGAGAGACACACACACACGCCCTGTAACTGTTTGAAAACTGACTAACCTCCATGAAATCGAGCAGCTGGAGGGAGAAAAAAAAACCTCCACCTTCTAAACCAGCGGCTTAGGAAAAGAGAGCAAATTAGGAAGGAGGGATCAAAAGTATGTGTGTGTGTCTCAGGTGAGACAGACTCAGGGCGGGTTTGTTGTTTGCTCGGCAGAAAACGCTTGGAAATGCTCAACTAAACGTGCTGACAGAGAGAGAGAGACAGAGAGAGAGAGAGACAGACGGACAGAGATAGAGACAGAGAAACAGAGAGAGAGAGAGAAAGAGATTCCACCTGTCAATGTATGTTGTATTGATTACGAGCTACCTATCAGATCAAAGTGGGCGTGGCCTGTTTGAGTCCCTCACCACTATCTTGGCGTCCCTGGCGGTGTTCTCTGGCACGGTGACCCAGTACTCAGGCTCCTCCCACAGCGGCGGCTGGTTGTGGACGTTGGTGATGATGATGCTGAGCTCCACCGAGCTGCTGCGGTTACCTCCGTCTGAGGCCACGATCTGCTGGTTGATCCTGGACGTCTGGGGGACATTCATTCATTATCATTTTATTTATTTTCATGTTGTTTATTATCATGTTATTTATTATTTATTATTAATTTAATTTAATTAAATCCCAGAACTACAAGTGTACCTGTGTACAAGCTAAAATTGTACACACATTATACAGAGAAACACAACCACACACAGACATAGAACCAAAAGAACACACACATGTTCCCTCAGTGGATTCATAACAAACATGTTTGCAGCTCTCTGCCTCCATGTACACACATATATATATATATAATATAATATATGACTTATTTGTGTGTGTGTGTGTGTGTGTGTACGTCTAACTGTGTGATAAGGTGGACATCACTCCCTCTATCTGCTGACCTGTGAGATGGGGTGGTTGACGTAGATCCAGCCGGTACTGGGGTTGATGTGCAGGTAAGCCGGCCTCTGATTGGACAGGGAGTAGGCGACGGCCGCGTTGCTCCCCTGGTCGTCGTCGTGTGCTGCCGCTCGCAGGAAACTAGTTCCCACCGGAGTGTCCTCCCGCAGGAAGTCTGAGAGGAGAAGAGATTCATTGAAATACTTCTAGTACTACTTGTACTACTTGTACTACTGCACATTTACTGAACTAGAAACGTCCCGTTCTGTGACGCTAAGCAGATCTCATTATACATAATGGGAGTGTGTTTTTGTGCCGCGTCAGCAGCTGCGTCACCTCGTTCTGTCATGTTTTTGGGGGGGTCTCAGTCTGCAACGTCGACAGATGCGTTTTTATGAATTCATGAATATAACATTCCAATCCTGCTGATCGGACAACAAACGAGCAGAGCCGGAGCTTTGCCTTCTGTAAGAGTGCATTTCAAGCATTATGTCAATGATAATGTCCTCTTCTCTGACGTTTGTGGGTCTCTGAATGCGTTTCTACTGAATAATCACGTCAGCTGCTGCCGAGTCTAATGAGAGGAACAACCAGGAAGAGCAGACGCAGCTCCAACAAATGGATGATTCAAAAAACACACTTTTTCTGGTTTGGTTTTGCCATCTTGTTTTTTTTTTTACAACCAGTGAACAGGAAGTGACCATATCTGGACTGAGG